CGCGTATGATTGCGAAACAAGGACACATGTCTACTAGCCATGATTTATCGCTCACCAAACTCAACGTCGGAAATGGACTCCAAACTGAACTACGTTTTACAGTTTGCTTTGAACAAGTCCTACACCCACATTCTTATCGCTGGAGATTTTACCCGCACGACATAGAAACGCCGGCAACGGACGCTACGCAGTTAAAAGCCTGCTCGCAAGAGCTAATTGCTGACCACCCTCTGTACAACCGCGTAACCTCTCCCACCAGATTTCGAACTTCTAACAAGCCGTCGATACTGAATCTTGTGCTCACTAACGAAGAACTCATGGTTGACCGGATAGTTACAAGCACGCCACTGGGTCGTAGTGATCATGTTACTACTCCTTGACTATATGCGCTACGCGGAGTACCCTGAAAAGGAGGATGATAAAGTGCATATTGTCACGTACTATAATGTGTTATCTAAGCTTGTTAAGGATACATCTTGGACTTTCTTAACCGAATGCCCCCCAGCCGTTACCTGGGAAACCTTTACAAGGACGTTTAGCACACTGGTTGCGCACGCATGGGAAGAGAACTACTTTCAACCCAAAAACAAGCGTAAGTCATTTCTGAGAAGCAGAACACGTAAATGTATGTCCCGGAGGGATTCGACATGGCGAGATCACCAGGACTGCTCGAATGCCGAAACCTGGACTGCATACGTGACACATCGTAGCTTCTGTGTGAAACTGATCCGCGAAGACTAGGTCACTCATCAGCAGGAGTTAATGAAGCCATTCAGCACGAACCGCAAACTTCTGTACAGGCACGTTAACGGCCTTCGAAAGGTAAAGCGAGGGGTTCCAGCACTAGTCACGGCTGATGGGTGCACGCGATCAGCAATGGAAGCAGCTGATCTCCTACGGCTTCATTACTCCCAAAATTTCCAGCAGGTAACAAGCCCAATTATTCTCCTCATTTCTAATACTCCACCATCTCGTTTAGACAACATCACCTTCACTGCGGTAGCTGTGTTGAAGAAGTTGTTATCTTTGCGTATCCACAGTTCTCCTTGAGTAAGCAATATCCGACCAAAAGCTCTGCAGGCGGTAGCTAGTGATCTAGAAGAACCACTGGCTGTTTTCTATCAGCGATGTCTGGAAGAGAACCGTATTCCACCAGTATGGAAGCAAGGGTCATCACTCCCCTCCATAAAGGAGGTAGTCACACTGATCCTGCCAACTACCGTCCAATAACACTACTTCCTATACTATCCAGAGTGATGGAATCAATCATCACAGATGCGCTGATAAAATACCTGGAAAGCCACGATTTAATAGCCTCAGAGCAGCACGGCTTTCGTCAAAAGCATTCATGTAATACTAACCTATTAATTGCACGTAATAGCTGGACTGAAACTGTTGATGATGGAGTGGGAGTGGTTGTCATCTACCTGGAATTTTCAAAAGCATTTGATCACTTAGACCATCGAATTCTCCTTCAGAAGCTTCGGAACTACGACATTGGCTACCCAATCCTGAGTTGGATTGGCAATTTTCTACACGAATGACGGCTAGTGGTGAGAGTCAGAGAATCATTGTCTGATGCAATCGATGTGGCGTGTGGAGTACCACAAGGCTCGGTTCTTGGACCTCGTCTATTCTTGGTGTTCATTAACGATTTGACGAGATCAATTGCTTCAGATTTCCTATTTTTCGCTGATGAAATCAAGATATGGCGAAGGATCAGAGGACCGGAAGACCATGAACGGATCCAGTGCGATCTTAACACAGTGTCGAACTGGTCACTTCAAAAAGCCCTACCATTCAATGTAGACAAATGTCGCGTTGTACAATTACGCCATAGACATAACTACACCTATTTGCTTGGGACAAACGGATTTCAGACAAGCTCCCAGAAAAGTGACATTGGTGTGATCGTACAGGGCGACCTCAACTGTTAAAAACAGGCTGAGGTAGCTGCGAAAAGAGGCAACCAGCACGTCGGCATGCTGCGAAGGGCATTCGGGAGATTTGACCCATCAATCTTCCCAATGATGCACAATTCCTGCATGCGCCCGCATGTTGAATACGCTATCGAAGCTTGGCAACCTTGGTTGAAGCACGACCTAGAAGCGTTAGAGGCACCTCAACAAAGTGCAACAAAGAATGTAAAGGGCCTGCGCCATCACTCTTACCAGCGAAGGCTGAAGTTGCTGGGAATTTTCAGCGGGCGCTATCGAAGGCTGCGCGGCGATCTCATATTAGCTTATCAGATACTGAGTGGCCCCAGCCACGTATGCCGCCATTTGCTGAAACTTAGCCACAACACGCAGCTCATGGGTAACTGCTTAAAATTGAAGGAACAATATAGCCGTCTAAAGTGTCGACGGAATTACTTTTCCCTTCGGATTTGCCAACTCTGGAACGCACTCCCAGACTCAGTTGTATCCTCTCCTATCCTGGAAGTTTCCAAAAGACGTTTAGATGTTGCTCTTAGCTCCCAGCAGTTTGTTACCTAAACTCCTCTATTGTGGATTACGCCAAGTATGTTTTGCAACAGGATTTATGTATCAAATGGACCTAAGTGAGCGACCATATTTTACTTTTCTCACGCCTTACATCAACCATCACTGCACCCCAGTGTCTTTCTGAACGTTTACGCTCGATATTTTTCCATTTTACACCGATGTTAATTATCAAGATATTCATGTAAGCAGACTTTCGCTCGATGACCAAGATACATTTTGCTTTCATCATATTCACCCCAACCACCCTACGGGACGTGTCAAGCACTTGCTTTTCTCCCGTGATAAATCATTGTTCATTATTCATTGATAACAAGTAGTGCAGCTAGCCATTAGTTGATGGTGCAGTAGCTACCCAACTAGTCATGAAACTGTGAACGGTTCACTTGCAGCATAGTGATTCCGTTGGTGAGTGTAGCAGCCGTTTGTCTAAGTTATGAGGAAAAACAGTGCCACAAATGCAATAAATGCCTTTCTTGTCATTTTTCTTGTATCATCCGATGTTTTTGGACTTTGATAAGCAACATGGATCAAGACCGACCCGAAAGGAAATCACTGTCATCTCGAGTATCAGAGGTGTACTCGAAATCAATGGCTGTCATCTGCGATACACTCCAGAACCAGTTTCTTGTTCGTCTGCGTCCTAACGTAGAAACAGACAGGCTGGCACTCGGACCACGGTCATAGTGAGCGCTTGCAGACGCCTGCAACCCTACACTACCGTACTTGACAAAAAAGTTATAAATCTGGAGTTGGCTTCATGGTATACCCAACATATTTCAATTATGACACTCGACCTGAAGTGGGATAGCGATTCACTGTGAATTCCACCTTAGTCATTTCAATTACCGCAACCTAATCCGACGGAGGCTCCCGGTGATGCTGGCCACTAAGATTGCAACTCTTAATCGGCTGTGTCCCTGTGTTGAACTTTTGTGACATAAGTAGCTAGGATTGGGATTCGAAAGTGAACCCCGTAATTTCGTTTTAGCCCCTTGACCACCCGGTTTTCGAGTTTCACAGGTAAAGCAGGTGACAGTGGACAGTGTCTTTAAGTGCAGTGGACTACCAGTATGATGAAACTTTGGTGCTTTCGGAAATTAATTCGTTCTAGTGAGAGTTTGCTTTAATGAAATGAACCAATTTACCTAATGCAGTTGCGGGAGCCTTACAAATTTTGCAAAACTGAACAGTTCGTCATGCCGCTGTCCGGTGAATCTCACATTAGGTCTTAACAACTTGAAAAATCGAAAGTAGAACGAATCTGGTCTGGGACATAACGCCTTTAATAGAGAGGAAGCTTAATATTGCCTATAATTACTTGTTCCCCACGGTTACTACGTTCGACATCGCTTACCTCGATCAATCACTATTGAGTTCATTTTGATATATTTCAAAGGCAACCAGATAAAGCTATATCTTTTGTCAGTCAGTTCTTAAAGAACAAAGCAATCAATCAACAACAGCAGTACATCAGCCATTTGAACTGATGCTTCGCTGCCATATAACCATGATGATCCTTGGAATAAATAATAATAAGAGGGTGAGAAGCGGAACTTACCTGTAAACCTAAATACCCTAAGCAAACATTCAGGGGCAAGGTGCCGACACTTTGTGTAGACAACATACCTTTGCAACGAGACTGGACCTTAATGTGGTGCGATGTTTTGCGTACCACCTTGACCCATTGAGCTATACTGGGTGGAACCTCCGGACTCCTTGAGAGTTATTTCTACCAGCTTGGTCAATGGTGACAGGTCAGACAAACTCACCCTTCTGGTCCACCAGGTTGGGGAGTTTGAAATGGGATGGCTTCCATTTCTGTAAAGCATATTGTTACCTCCTCTTAAAGGATAAGATATAAGAACATCACGATTTTTCATCTATTGGCGCTCCAATCTGGGGGTGTTGCCATAAAGGGCATATGGGTCTTACCAGTTCCCCAGTTCTAAAGCGGGAAGATTTCATGACTAGTCGGGTTATCACATGTTAAGCATTTGCGTGGTTCACATTATTGCAACGAAAAGTTTTATTGAGACCTTACTAGATTATGAAGACAGTTTTGTACCGCCGCAAAAAGCATACTACGATGGATACTCATATAGCATGTAGGAACCAGAGACCATATGTTTAGAACAAGGGGAATCTACCGCTCAGATTTTCTCAGCAGCAGAAATCGCACGCCACAATATGTACCTATTAGCAACACTGGATTTGATTCGCAACAAGTGCCCATTCAACTTCATGTATGCACTCGTTTTGATCTTAGAAGAACGAGCGTTTAAACGAATGCTCAATATTTACAACTAGTTTGTTGACCAGCTGCCAATTGAGAACCACATTATGAATTTGGAACGCATCAGTCTTTTGAAGTAAATCATTGTTCATTGTGAGCAGTGACAGACTAGATCCACATGCTCAATCGACAGCTAGGAGGTCCAAAATGCCCTACGAGGGGAGTTTACGACTCGCCTGACTCAATCGACCTTTGGGACTCACCTGACACCTTTTGTCATTAATGGTAGATCCGCTCTGGGTCTGCTGGTATCGTACATCGTGTGAAGTCCAAGTGGCTCACTGTTGGTTGGTAGGGCACACTTGCCATGTGAACGTAGTCGTAGATACGTCGAGCAGAGACATGAAAGAGGAAGACAAAATGAAACATTGAAGACGATGACTAAGGAGGTGGAGCATTCTGTGCTTCGATGAACAGCAGAGTTGTGTATTGTATCGAAGCTTAAGAAACAGTGAGTAAGGCTGGTGCATCACCTTTCTGGGCGGTCGTCTAAGTTTCAATAAGAAAACAGTATTTCATGTCTATCTATTATAGGATATTGCAGTTCCTCATGTACCTCATGTACCCGGATGGGTACACTTTCGGCATTTTAAACTACCGACCGCAAATGAACTAAAACGGCGTCAATGAATGTGCAAAATTTCACATATAACAGAAACAAAGTGGGGAAATGGACACAGCTGTCACTTGAGCAAATATATTTACGGGACTGCAGTCGCGCATCTTTGCTTAACGACAGCATATTGCTGGGGGGGGGGTTGTAGAGATTCAGATGCGGTTGACCAACTACTTTTTTTGATAAATGTATTCATCTTGTCTAAAGTAAGCAATTTCAAAATGTGCGCTATATCTGGACGCACTTTTCCAAACAATCGGCTGATTAGTACTTTCAATGGCTCTGTGGACCCTAGTTTTTGCGTATACAGCTTCAGTTGTCTACCTCAGTCTAGAGTTGTGCCTGAACCGCATTTATGGACGGCATACATGATTTGGGATGCTGAATATGTGGCATGCCAGCATAAGGTACTTACATAGCTGTAGGCAGCATCCACAAAACACGTCGAGTAGCGCCAGCCTTGGATAATCTGAGAAGCTATATGACCCGGTGAAGTCATGTATGACCTGATGTTGTGGAACGCTAGTGCAGCCAGGACATACAACTACGAAAGATGCCAGGTCTGGATATTATTTGCTGTCATGGGTATGCCTGTGTCACTGAGTGGAAGAGGGGAAATGTGAATGTGACAAAACCTGAAAGCGTTCCCCCCGATAAACTGATCACACCTCGAACAGTTCAGGCAGTCATTCGAAGGTGTCACAAAGTCCCGTGTTCTGGATTAGGTCTGCCGTTACATGTTATTATATTTAGACGTGTTGCTGACCAGTCTGAAAGCCCTTGAGTTTGTTCACATTAAACAGCTGCCTATTATTAATCAATCGCACTATTTTGTGTCGCAATACCTAGCTGTATACGCACCATTTAAACTCACGCTAACTCCAGACACCGTTAACAAAGATAACAAGAGTTGAGTCTAGACCGCGTGTAAGATTACTTCGGACTTAACGCAAAAATTTAGTAGTACACAGTCGCTTCGAATCGGGTCGGACTTGGAACATCGGAATCTTCAACTCAGGACAGAATAACCAAGTGCTTTCGTGTGTCAAGAGTGCGACTGTAGACGCAAGTGGTGAAGAACTAACACTGAATCCCCCAGTGCCTTTCAAGATTTATTCATGTGTAATGCAACTCAATTAAACATAGTCGTGTACTGTGTTATAGTACTGAGAGCTGGTGCTAATGGAATCGCCTGCTGCGGTGTGGTCGACCAGGCGATCGATCGAGTGGGCAGATGAGTTGTTAAAATCACAGTTAGTTGTACTGTGCCTGAGATTTGTGAATACAGCGCTTGTGTGCATAGCCGGTGTGTTTTCTTTCTCTTGACGCGGCTGGCAGAACGGGGCGAGTAACATGATGTCAGAGAAAAAGAAGAACACGATGAGCGATCAGGAGCTTCGTTTTGGCTGGCAGCCATTTGTAGCGATGCGTACTCCATTAGAGAGGACGGAGGGTTCGCTGCCTGAAAACTGGCGCCTGTGGAGAGCGGAGTGGATGGAATGTGCGACACTGATCGAGTTGGATGAATATCCTATGCCGTATCAGTTAACCATATTCAGATACGCCATCGGCCATGATGAGGTACGGATATTAGAAGTCTGGAATCTCTACGATCACGACCAAAAAGCGGATCTTTCAGAAACGCTCGAGAGATTTGGTGGCCATTGTGAAGGCCGGTTAGGTCATTTCGCTGTTTGCCGTCCATCGCCCAACATTAGCTCACTTGATAGCGTAAATCCGCAAGAAGCGCACGAAATTGCAGTAAATAACAAGGGGGATCGTGTCGGGAAGGAAGCATTGTTGCAAAACTGTCGAATCAAGAAGAACGAATTCAACCGCAAGCCGATTCTGGAGTCACAGAACATTTGACAAAGGAAAATTTTCAACTAATTGTCTGTGATACACTCTTCGAAAGCACTCATGGCGGTGAAAGATGGGCCACAAAATTGAGCCAAGGCAGCCTCAAAATCTAGGGCCTAGGGTCGGAGTATGTTCTAAAGAGATACCTAAAGCTGAGCAGCGTCGGAAGAGAAAAGCAGCTGTGGGTCGAAAAAAAGAGGGAATTTACCGATTGCGGCTGAAAAGGCGGTGTGGTGAACATGCTGTGTGCTCGGACGAGAAGCCGTATCCGCAGCATAAGCAACTAAGATGGCAGCTCAGGTTCGAAAACTCTGCCGCTGTGGAAGACGTTAAAGAACCTGTAACACTAAAACAGCGAAAAACTAGAAAAAGGAAAGGATGTGATGGGGCTGAGAGCTAAGGCTAATGGAATCGCCTGCTGCGGTGTGGTCGACCAGGCGATCGATCGAGTGGGCAGGTGAATTGTTAAAATCACAGTTAGTTGTACTTTGTCTGAGATTTGTGAATACAGCGCTCGTGTGCATAGCCGGTGTGTTTTCTTTCTCTTGACGCAGCTGGCAGAACCAAGCACGCAACACACCGCAAAATAAACTGCGCAAAATCCCGTCTGGTGTGAGGACTTCTAAGGATCCATAAACTGCGATTTATTTGGGGCCTAGCTTGCAAGCTGTACTGCGCTGGCGTTTCACTCCAGAAATCTACGGTGTCATTCATACAAACGAACAGATTTTACTCACCATTTTGGATTCACCTTTGTTAATTTGTCGATATATAGTGCTAGCAGAAATAACCCAAAAGCTGTGCAAGTCTTATCAAAACATACAACCAACGTAACACAAACATTAGCACCAACACTGTGTCAGAAACTTGTCGAGGATCAAAGATGGGAGAGGCTAGAATAGAGTGAGTAATCAGAGCTGATATCCTCAAGAGCATGTTGTCCGCAAATAAACATCAGACCGATATGCTACTACTCCTAGATATTCAGAAGAAAATCCTTGAGGAGAACGTTGATGGAGAACATCCCGATCATGGATCAAGCGCATTTACACCAAATCAGCTCCAGCCGCCTCCTGCGCCAACTCTTTTCAAATTTATCATTTGCTCTCTCATCCAGTGTGGTATTTCGGAGGAGATCCGTTCAGAACAACCAGTTAGGACTCACAACAAACATCAGACAAAAGATTGTATAGCAGTTATGTCCTAATGGGATTCAGCAACAATGAATAAAATTGACAAAGCCGGAAAACCTGAACTCGATTACCCATTGGTTTCCTGATATGTCATCTTTATCCCACAGAGTCTACTTATGTCGTAGTTTCTTTGGAATAACCTGATAAAGATAAAATGAACATTAAGGTACTCACGTTCCCTCCATTCTTCACCTTAATCGGCTTTTCGAGTGCGGAATATAAAGGACCTTCGAAAACACGCTCCACGTCCGTCAGTCGGTAGGCACATATTGCCGAACTTCGTGGGGCAAAACTAGTTAAAACGAGAAGAAGAGATTTGACTACGGGAGCACCGGAGGTGCATGTAGTTGGTATGCATAGAGAGAAGCGAAGTAAATACTGCTACTCAATTGAACCATGCTTAAATGAAGCCATTTAATGCTCTGACGTAACTACGTTAGAGGACTCCGCGCTTAGCCGATGTGCATCAAGGTTATTTTTGCTGTCGAGGACGACCTTTCACGAGACTGTCAGTTTTTCAAATGCGGGCGTGGAGGTTGTAGGCTGGGACCAGCGTTACTAAGTGGCGGATGAACAACGCAAACGACCGAGTGCTTGCTGAAGTTAATGACTTTTGGATTTGGTCTCTTGTCTTTCTCTATGATCAACCGTGACTGCATTCGGTCACTAAGCTTCATGAACCTGCGCTAGGATTTGGGCACATAAGATCATTTATTGTGACCACTGTCACGCAACTAGCACACTACGGTGGAAACTTTACAACTTCAAAGCAAAGTGCGCAAATAGTGAAGGCAGTCACTCCCACCTGGCTGTAGATGAACATAATTTCAAGCGTGATACTAGCGGCGATACATTCGGCCACCCCTGCTTACATGTACATTAGCAACCGCTGCATGAGAAGTTGGATTCACTGTTCTTGTCTTGCTGGTACACTGAAGCGCGAGAAACTTTGTATTGGACCACTAGCATCATTAACGTATATTTCCAGGGGTCATTAGAGCATCGATAAGAAACTTTCAACCACTGAGCAAGCGTAAAGTGTAAAGTAAACATGGTCTGCTGAGTTATTTGAGCCCATAAAAGGCTAAATTACTCAGCTATGGTCAATATTCTACTTCCCATTCCCCGATGCTGTATTCCATTTTGGTCAAACACAACTGTTTTCGGTGTTACTCTCTTCCATGCCTGCACTGTACGACCGACAGTTTCGTCCTTGTTTGGACACATCAGGCAGAGATAGCTTGAGTTCGGAGTGGAACTCAGTACATAACGATAGGCAGCTATCGCCATGAGCACTATGCCATTAAAATCCGCAAAAGCAAAATTCGTTAAAGCGCTTAGAATATGGTTGTCAGTTGTCTGGGCATTCACCGTATGTGTTGGATTGCGACACGAAATCCCGTTTGTAGACAGGGTTGAATCTGAAGTCAGCTTCTGCCCACCCGAGCACTGAGAGCGTCACCAAGACCAATATTTAGATTGTGAGTCATCTTCCAAGATAGAAGGCGAGAGCTCAAAAATCCGACAATAAACATATAACCGCTTTGTTAAGCACTGCTCGCGGAGCCCAACGGCCTAGTGATCATGAAAATAGCCGCCAACTAGTATGTGCAGTGTTCCACTCTCAGATCAGGATATCTCTGGTTGATGAGTCCAAACACGGCGAAACGCGTCGTAGAACGCAGGGATGGGAGAGAGTAATACCGAAAGGTAACAATTCGGATAAGTTTCCAGTGATCGGTTTGAAAGTGGCTGACTTCAATGTCAACCGAGCTCACAAATATGATTGCTTGTCGCAATCCAAGACACACGACGGGTACTGAAAGTCCGAACCCCAGCACAGCTGCTTTCCGTGCAGACTTGTCACAGTGTTCGACGCCGCATTGTATGAGTCCAGCTCACGCAGTCGAAGCGGTGATAAGCGTCGCTTGCTCGGCTATTTCCCTGATAATTGGAAAATCCCGTTCATCATCCCATGACAGAAAATTGGTCCCAAGGAAAAATATTACCAATTACCGACCGATTCATCGTACTCCCACCATCTCCATTCTGTTTGAAAGATTAGTCAAGAAAACGTTGATGCAGTTCCTTACTTCCCTGAACCTATTTAACACATCTTAGCATTGTTTCGTTGATGGACCTTCCTGCACTACCGGCCAGCTACACTACCTTAACCACACTACATAATCCATAGACTCCGGTTATGCAATAATAAGTAGGTTTTTGGACCTAGAAAAAACACTTGACCGTGTACAATGAAATGGGTTGTTGAAAAAGATGGAATCTTTTGGAATCCGGGACCAGCTTTTATATTGGCTTTCATCCTACTTTAACAATCGGTCTCAAGTAGTCAATTTGGGTGATCACCACACTTCTCCTCGTCCAATAATCAGCCGTGTCATCCAAGGAAGTGTACTTGCCCCACTGATTTTTCTCCTCTACATGAACTATATTGGCATGTCCATCATACATAGCCAACACTTTCTATTTGCAGATGATGTCAAGATTGTTCACAAACTCCGGTCTGATGCGTTTCAGAACACACTATTAATTCAGCAAGAAAAATGGTCGGAGACTTGATTGATAAAATTCTCAACCGACGAATCCAACATTGTGCCATGTGGCTGCTCGTTCGCCGATGGATCAATTAAACTTAACATTAAAAGTATGTCCATACGGCAGTCTACTCGTGATTTCGGAATCCGCTACTCTTACAACTTCCGTTTATTCTGAACAACCCCAATAGCAAATAGCTGGGGCTAAAAATCCGCGGCTAACATATATCACAAATTCCACGCAGTTTCTGCCAGATTGGAATTATTTAAAACTCATACTCGTCCTATTCTCGAATACTGCAAATTCAACTATGGTAGCATGCGGAAGTTACACATGGAAGCTATACAAAATTTACAGTTATACCCCAATCGTTTGTTCAATAGCGCATCTACTCTAAACTATCGGGAACATTGCAAACAGCTTCACATCGAACCTCTCTGCTTGCGACGTCTAAAGCAAAACTTGATACTCCTTCACAATTTGTAGCATCAGAAAACGTTCTCTTACCCATATAAGAGATAAAACACCATAACCATCACAGATTCCGCAATAAAAATTTACTCTACGGACACCAAGAGCTAGAACATCAATACGATCCAACTATTTCCTCATCAGATGCGCCGTCCTGTGGAACAGCCTACCACCCGCAATCAGGACATGTGAAAATCCCCCTTCATGCCACACTAAACTCGACAGATTCTTAGATCTGGAAGTGTTATTATCCATGTTCTCATCCGACAACTAACCTGATGAAATATCCCAAGATGTTCCAAAAATATCTAAAGGGCTAAGAATTGGAGACAACATGCACTCATGCAATAGCATGAAAATTGTTGTACATACTGAGCTGTGCTTAATTTACGAACAGTTTCACAAACTATCGAGAAATATATATATATATATATATATATATATATATATATATATATATATATGGTTGGCGACATCCAGTTTCGGATTCAACCCACTGTCTGCTGGAGCCAGTATTGACGAGGTAGTGAGTAATAAACGAGTAGGCACTTTGTCAAAATGCACATCGAGCGCAGCCACACCGGGGATATCAAGCAACAGCCAATCACTTGAAACGACAAGATGAAATAAAACAAATCAAATAATGCATAGAGATACGGTGACATAGCTCTTCGCTAAATTAGCATATGAAGTATGTTGGTTAGCAACGAATCCGCGATAAGTAAAAAAATGTCCATAAGTTACTTTAAAATGCTACCAAGGCAACAAACTTATCGAAGATAAGAGTAGGCGTAAGAAACGTGGCCAGTTAATAGAAGATTATTCTGGTGGGGCAGAACAAACCAAATAAAGTGGAATAAAATTTATCCAGGTCAAAAGACCTAGTTTAATTGTACGTTGCTTTAGCCCAACTGCGGTGAAGAAGCATCAAGAATGCAACATCAGCCTCAGCATGGCGCATATATACATATATATGGCCATAACAAATTTGCATTTGCTAGAATCGCTGCCCCATGACCCCTCGGGATCATTTTAACCTCAGTGAGTACTACGCAGTAACTCGATATTTTGGCGTGCCTTACTGATCGAGCTTTTTAGATACAGCATTGTGGAAAACAGTGTTTGAATTAACACTTGAAACGGAATTTGACTATTGTCCAATTTCCTCTGATCCAAGATAGCTTGGATCGATTAAAGTGGTTCTAGTCAAAGCGTCTTTGGCGCTTACCGGGACTTTTTCCGGTTGTTCCCAGTTTTAACCCCCTTTTTGCACCGTTTTTGCCTTTTTATTGTGGTCGTTTAAGTATTGTATACGGTTTATAATTTCACTCCGTTTTCCACTATGTCGGCCACGCAATGCACCGAGGTGGCTTGATTTCTGAGGCTATCGCACTTGGTGGCAGTTCAAGCTGCAATATGCCAGTAACTGACAATTCCGGCAGTATGCAGTGCGATGTCTGCAACCGATGGTATCAACAGCTTTGCACGGACCTGAATACCGAGCAGTACGCAGCTCTGGTCTCCAGCGAAAAGTTGCTTTTCAGTTGTGCCAATTGGTGCAGCCGCCGGCAAGGCCGCGCGGCCCTTCGTACGAGAGACGAATCTCTTGATACCAGGCTGCGAAATGTAGAGCGTTCGTTCTCGCTGCTCTCAGATCTTCGCCTTAAGATTGATCTGCTCATGACGACGCTTCCGGAATGCAACAACGCAGATTTGATCGCTTACACTGGAGATCAACTTGTGGCACCAATCATCATGTCACACGTCAAAATGGCTGCCGACCACGAAAATGAAGCTGCCTCGGACGTCGTATCTAAAGCTACCTTGATCGACGCCGAATTGCTGGTTCAAGACTCTCTTCGAGTAAAGCGAAAGAGAGCCAGGATACCCCGTAAACTCTCTGCTAAACAAGAAGTTGTAGTTATATCGGCACCGTAAACAAGCCATGTGTCGTTCCTTGTCAAACCGTCTGACGGTTGTGTGAAGACGAAGATTCCCACGCGCAATACTTGTCAATCGAAGCTGCCGGATATCTCGACTCTCACCAAGAATGCACGTTCTGACGGTTTGCTTGACTCAGTTCAAAGCGACAAAGCGTCACGGGAACCTGCTCCTGTTATCAAGAAGAAAAAGCAGACCAAATCTGCCATAAAGCCTTTCGGTAGAATCGATGATCCGAAAAAATGTAAGACATCGACAATGGAGCGAAAAACGTACGCTGCCGTTGCTGCATCATCGGAGGGGCTAAAGACAGTCCCATCACCA